GATCTCAGATTATTAAGTATTTGGCGTCTTTAGTATGATTTCCGGTTGTTGAAATACAAATTATTATGTATTTAGTATGACCATTTTAAACAGTGCTGCATAAAGTCAGTTGTATTCGCCTTTTAAACAGTGCTGCATTAAGTCAGTTGTATTCCCCTTTTAAACAGTGCTGCATAAAATCAGTTGTATTCGCCTTTTAAACAGTGCTGCATAAAGTCAGTTGTATTCGCCTTTTAATCAGTGCTACATTAAGGCAGTTATATACGCCGTTTAAACAGTGATGCATTAAGGCAGTTGTATTCGCCGTTTAAACAGTGCTGCATTAAGGCAGTTGTATTCGCCTTTTAAACAGTGCTGCATTAAGGCAGTTGTATTCGCCTTTTAAACAGTGCTGCATTAAGTCAGTTGTATTAGTCTTATAAACAGTGTTGCATAAAGTCAGTTGTACAACACTTAAACAATTTCATATTGAATAAGATCAAAAGGTAAAAGTTTCAACATTCCTGTAAAACCATGTGGGACGAAGCCTTTCAGATTACAAGAAAGACATCATATCTAATGATAGTTACTTCAGACAACATCATTAAATATCTTTATCAATAATTAAATTTTGTCTTCTGTATTCATTAAGGTTGAGCAAGTAAATAGAAGATATGTTATACAAAGATTCTGTCTGTGTCGGCATGTCTGATGGCTTTATTCATCATGAATTATTTCATAGCAAACTGACAAAGGAGTTATTCATTATTTGTCGGTCAATGGTTGTTCCACCTTGACTTGTTTGGAATGGAATTGAAGGACTTCTTTTGTACCTTTGCACTTTTAAGTTTACTCAGGTTTGCAAGAGGGACATATATTTTCGAACCTAATATGGAAACGTGGAAATGGCACCAAAATCCAAGTTATCTATGAATGAAACTATGACGCAACTTCCAAACAAATCATTATCAAAATGTGATAAATAGTTTTTGTAAAAAGAATGAAAAGGAAAACATAGGGGAGATACTTCTAGAAAGACAATTTTGGGTAATCTAGGAGACCCAATATTGGTCCTGGTGTTATGCATAACATTTTTTCAATAATTTATCTTTACATTGACAGAAAAATGTTCACGCTTTTAAGAGGTTTCTTATAACAGTACATTTGTAGACTGCGACATAGTAATATGCAATATATATGAAGTCATGCATAACTTAGATTAGGTTTCCCTATCGGGGAATCGATTTACTATACATTCCTCTCTGACAGCATATTTGACATCTTACAATGAGTCTATCAATAGAGTGGTTTGTTTCAATTGCTAGTATTCATGTACCAAGTGAAACGTAAACTCATAAATATACATGTTCATTACTAAAATAATTCCGGTTAATAGAACAAACATCCGGTCAATTAAGCTTCATCAATAAAATAATTTGAGATGCACTTCAACGAGTCCAATACCACTAACTCCGATTTTATGCGTTTATTTGCGATTTTATGGTATATATATCGGTCTGCAGGTTACCAATTGTGAGGAGTTAATTAAGAACTTACTTCGTGATTCCCATTCTGATGTGAATCGGTTATTGAAGCATGTTTGATTGGGCCACTCATATTCATATACTGGTTAATGTATTTGAGTTCCTGTTGGATTAGATCATTAGTAATAAGCCCCGTCTAAAGGAAAAGGTTTCGAGACTTTCGTGATTTTGTTGTTGAATGGTTTGTAGCATATCAATAAGCTGAGTTCCAATATTAAAATTGTACTGTTTTGTTCACGTCATGATATCTTAAAAATATTTTAACATGTGTGGCAATCGCTGATGACAAGAGGACGAGCAGCATGAGTTAATGCTACATTCAGATGAAGATCCTGTACCACTGAAAACAGCAACTTGTGAATCTTCTTTGGTGGAAGTCTCCCGATATCAAACCTCTTTGTGCTCGAAGAGTATTATGTCAGTTTAGTAAAAGAAAACCGAATCCATGAACAAAGCACGTATTCCGCAGGCCAATAAGGTGTGTAGGCCATAGAACTTCATTCATGTCATTTCCCACTTTGTATAAAATATTAAGCATTTTTATTATTGAAATAAACATTTTTTAATAACAAGTCAAAAATATAATTATTAACATAAACTTCTTTATGTTTTCTTGTGTCCAATACATTTATTGTTACAATAAATAAAGCCCATCAATATTGTTGAAAAACTGTTCACAAAAGACGATTTCAAACAAGGAATTCACTTTCTTTTTATTGTCACTTGCCGTTTGTCGCCTTCCTTTTGCTTTATTTAAATAAGAAAAATAATGAGAAACACACTAAAACTTGAGGTCGGTTTTTGCTTATCTTGTGCCAAAAGTTTTCTTTAAATTGTTTTTTGCTTGTTGTCACGCCAATTTGACCTAAAATTGTATGGATTTTGACCACAAGCCATGAGTCCGCTTTCACAATAAACCAATATGACACACCATAGAAAGAAAAGTATACGCTGTCTGTATTACTGAGAGTTACATATAAACAAAAGTAACAAAGATGTACTGTATAATAAACAATTCGAATTAATAAAAAATAAATAAATAAATAAATTGCAGTTTAAAAGTAAAAGCGATGAACACCAAGATCTCTGATATTGTTCAATGTATGATTGGTTCTCGATATTAAGCTTCAGCCATTTACGATCCATTTTGTTCTTTTGGGACCTGTGAAAAGATATGTATGCAACGTTAATGAAATCATTCACATTGAAATGACAACAAAATTTAGCACGTATGTTTATTCAGATTTTTACTGTTGACTTTTTTCAAGTTCTTTTTTTAATTTGCTTATCATTATTAATCTTTGTTTCTCAGAAAGCATATCAATCATATGGTCCAGATATTTTATCACGTAATATCTCATGCTTTCTGAGGGATCCCGTACATCGTCAATTGACGTATAATAGTCTTCATTGTATCGTTTTCCAAAACCCCCCATTCCACTGAAACTAGATATTGGATCTAAAACCCCTCGTTTTTTAAAGCCACCCATATTGCTGTAGGAATTTATAGACGAAAATCTTCCTCTTTTATGGAAAACTCCAAGATTTGAATAATGAGCTATTGGATCAAATCGCCTTTTGTCGACGGCATCTATATCTGAATACAAAATGGATTGCCTTTTGCCAAAACCTCCCATACCACTATTCCGAGCAATGGTATCGAATTGTCGCTTTCCCAAATCACCCAGCCCACTTACACTATCAATTTCGTCAAGTGTTCGTTTTCCAAATTTTCCCATACCACTAACGCCATCTATCGAATCCATGCGTCGCTTTTTGTATCCACCCATACCACTAACGCCATCTATAGAATCCATACGTCGCTTTTTGTATCCACCCATACCACTAACGCCATCTATAGAATCCATACGTCGCTTTTTGTATCCACCCATACCACTAACGCCATCTATCGAATCCATGCGTCGCTTTTTGTATCCACCCATTCCACTGAAACCATCTATCGCATCCATTCCACGTTTGAAACCACCCATGCCACTCAAACCGTTTATAGAGTCTAATTGACGTTTCTTGTACCCGCCCATTCCACTGAAAGAATTGATTGTATCGAGTCCTCGTTTGTATCCACCCATTCCACTGTATCCATCTATAGCGTCCATACCGCGCTTAAATCCCCCCATTCCACTTAAACCATCAATTGCGTCTAATCCACGTTTCTTATAGCCTCCCATTCCACTGAATCCATTAATCTTGTCATAACCACGTTTGAAACCACCCATTCCACTGAAGCCGTCGATGGCATCCACTCCTCGTTTGAATCCTCCCATTCCACTGAGACTATTGATGGAGTCTAAGCCACGTTTTTTGAAGCCGCCCATGCCACTAAAACTGCTTATTGAGTCCAAACCACGCTTCCTATAACCACCCATTCCGCTAAAAGAATTGATCGAGTCCAAGCCGCGCTTAAATCCACCCATTCCACTTACACCATTGATCGAGTCCAGGGCACGTTTTTTATATCCACCCATAGCACTAAACCCGTCTATAGAATCCATTCTACGTTTTCCGAATTGTCCCATATCGCTGAATGCGTTGATAGAATCCAAAGATCTTCTATTTCGGAAATACGATCGTTTTTTGAATCCTCCCATATTACTTGTACCGCCTATTGCGTCATATCTCCTTTTATTGTTTCCTGGATATAATGCGGATAAAGCATTGTAACTACTTCTTTCGGGGGAGTTTCTGCCAAGAGAAGAAACAGGGAAGGCACTATTCAACGTTTTGCCTATATCCTTGTCAGATTTTTTCTTAAATCCACCCATACCACTGAAAGAATTTATTCCATCTAAACTCTTTTTGCTTTTGCTTTCTCCTTCAGTGTCTGAATCAACTTGTGACTGAAAAGAGCAGAATAAATTCATAAGTTACTATGTAAAAGTTTTCTTATTGGGATATTTTTTTTATGGAATTGGACGGGTAAATAGTTTGAACATTCAGAAACATTAAAACACGATCGAGTCTCCCAATAAGGGTGGTTGAGACTACACATATGATTTTTTTTTCATTGAAATAATGCATAATACATGTTGACGTTATTTTAAATGACTGTCATTTTCACTAAGGCGTGGCTGTCAAATCTTTCCATTAAGTATATCGCATTTTTCGTTGTTGGTAAATACGTAATTCTCAACCGCAACCTGATTCGTATTCTGTATTGTTACACAACGTTCATAAACTTTAAAGCGCCATGTAATTTTAAGTTCTGTGTAGTTCACCTGCTGCATACGCAAATACGTCATTGAAATTTCATTAAAAAAACCACCGCCTGCGAAAATTTGTATGTATTCGACATCAAACGAAATTTTTACGTTAGAGAATTTCATTCCGACAACGTTATTGCAGTCTTGATTTATTTTATTCAGAAAGAAATAACAACCCTTATAGGTTCAAATTAAGCTTCAAACGACCTTGTTGACAACATATATTATATTTGTGGATAATTCTATTTAAAGAGTCTTTTTGAATGGGGTCTTATTAAGGAAAGTCTATTAATGATGTTCGAAGCATATTTTGCACGATTTCTTGATTCCAATGTAATGAATTAGTGAATCAGAGAGATTTAAATAAACCCACAGTTGATTTCATTACAGAAGTCAAGCGATTTAATCATCGTGTCTTTCGCACATAGCTCAATTCGTAGGTTCATTAAGACCTGTGTAAAATCCTTATTGCCAGACAATATCATGATAAAGACGGCTTTCAGATTTTTTTCCGCATCAGTAGACCGAAATTACTTAAAACATGGCTTTATTAAGCTCTTATGAATCCCTAAACGTGTCTATCGTAAATTAAGTCGAAATGTTAACGTGAGACTTTAATGTTTCTTTTGACCAGGTCAGAGAAAACCAATTCCAATTTCCATTCGTTTTGATACATTTATCATCATATTGTTTTTGGCTGTAAATCTAATTTCTAATGGCACGAAAGTGACAAAAGAAATTTAAGACCAACATCGAATGTTAAAACAAATTTTTTTTTTCATGTGAGATTTTTGAGATTCATGGCATATTAATATTAAATTGAGTTCATCAAAAAATATCATATTATCGCTAACTGTATGTGCACATTGTAAACTTATCATTTTTTCGTTTGCTTCTGAAAATACATGGCAACCGAGGCAGAGTAAAACAATGTTTTTTTTTTAAATTTACACTGTCGATTTTTTTCGATTTCCACATATCTTCCATTAATAAGTCTTCGGATGCTCGTCAAATTAATTTAGTGTACTCTAGATGAAAGTATAAGATGAAATTTGGGTAGTTGACAAAAGTTTGAACAAGAGTTTGATTGGATGTTAAATGTTCCTTGATTTCATACAATCAGCAGATCAACTAGATAGTTAGGGGCCCCAAAATTTTTTTGGATTTTTAATAAATGCTCTCCTGCAATTTTTTCGATGGTGGAGCCCTATACAGATGTAGGCCCGTTCAAACAATCTGCGTGATATTCAGTCAAGTTTTTCCCGATTCCTGAAGACCTGCGCGCATCTGGCTGAGGTTCCCTTTCTCACCAATACACTATATTTGTTCAGATAAATATACACTCCACCATAAAAAAATATATTTTGAAACCACCCCCGCCCAGTTCTTTACAAATATTGATCAACACACTCTTGTCTAAATTAGGTCTGTCAGAAGTCGAATCGATATTCGTACCAATCAACGACAGGAAAATAAACCCCAAATCTCAGTATAACCCAGGAAGATGCATATGTCGGTCTGTTGATATTTTCTCAATAACAGTTAATGCAAATAGGCTAACAAGAAAGACCGACAGACTTCGATGGAAATTGTGTAACGAATTTTTATGTCAGAGATTTTTGATACTGTATTATTGGTTACCCCATGGCAAAAAAAAAAATGAACAACACATTTTATATGTACTTGTCAAAACTTATTGCAATGAAACATGTGGGTTTAAATCATTCTTTAGAATCTCACGACCTTTTGTTTTTGAGATTATAAACGCTTATTAAAATTTGCTAGTTTTCCCATTTGTCATCAGCAATCTTTTTATCACAAATTATATTTGCTAGAAAATTAATATTATTACAATATTATTTTTCCTAATCTCCTAATAATTTTTTTTCATTACACTTCTTCAGATATGAATCATGCCACCTTCTTCAACCTTTAATAACTCTTTAATTATCAACATCTAGCAACGACAGCATGTACCTTAGCATTGACTAATCTATCTTTAATTTCATATTTGTAATAATATGCTTGAGTAACCTAAGTCTAACAGAAAGTACTAAAATGACAGAACATCGTAGGTGAAACGAAATTACATTCCTTTCAATTGTTAAAATTGTAATAATGTCAACATATTTTACATTAATTTAATGTTACTTTGTCAAGTCATGCGGAATGTCAAATCATTATTTTTCTTCTGCCAATTTTACTTAATTTTAATGTTTGTCTCACAGTGTGACGTACTGAAATGTCAGGGATGTGGAATAAAGTTAGCATGTGGGAGCCTAAATTACAGGAATTGTCCAGGTCCAAAAGATAAAGCAAAAGGAGTGTGATACCTCCGAGGTTAGCTCACAAGACAAAGTACCATCATTTTTTTGTTTGATCTTTTGTTTTATCATAAAAAAATCATTTGGTTATAATATAATCACATGTTCAAACTCAGTCCAAAGTTTTAATAGTTTCGTTTCGTTTTATGAAGTATACAATCCATCATTTTAGTTAACAAAATTTAATGTAATGTTTTACTTCCGGTTGGTTGTTGGCAGTGATTGTTTGGATCAACAACTGTTCTGCTAAATAAGGATTTGATAATAACAAAAATTGTAACGTAATGTGTTTTAGGTGTTTTAAAATGTTATATTAAAGTGTGAAAGGGAAGTGGGGATTTTGAAATCTATCATTGTCAAGACATGGTTAATGTTAAAACGTAATTTTGCTCCTTTCATGAATGTAACCTAAACCTTTCCAATCTCTTTCATTAGTTTTATTCAAAATCCTAAAACGAAATATACATTTAAATAAATGATGTATTTTGTGATAAAAAATTCTTTATATTTCGAGCTATTTGACATACTGGGTATGAATGAAAGTGAAATTATTGCGTGTCTGAAGACGACGGCAGAAACACGTCAAAACGTTTCTGACAACCGCTATTGCCCAGCTGCGTCTATACATGGTATTTTTGTTGGGTAAGCCCCGATAGTAGTTTCATTCTATAGCACACTATTGTTGAGTGTTTGAGGTTGCAGACACAGGGGTATCGTTCCCGGACGTCTACACTGAAAATTCTGCTTAACTAGAAATATATGATACAAATGCAAGAATGCTAATGCCCACCTTCGGCTAATATGTTGCATAAGATTATAGCGTGACCTAGCATAAAGTTTAAATTAAACGATTATTCTCCTAGACACGAAACCCATGGGGAAGAAAATATTTTTCACAAAGTAGTTCTGATAGTTAGACGTATTAGAAACTAAAATAAAAGTGCTTGAAAATACCTTAGATTGCGTTTGTTCCGTGCAAGATAAACATTTCAAAGAGACCATAATAATTAGAAGAACAAAGAGTGGTTGTCTTTTAATCGCCATCCTGGACCTGAAAATAGAAACAGTAAAATTAACGTATCAAGATTTATTGTATTTAAGATTTTCACACCTTCGGTCCCTTGCAGTATTTTGCGTGTCTTAGTGATACATTCCTTTGTTGAACCTGTTAACACGATACGTGCTATAATTTAGACCAGGGTGTTCCAATTTACGACATTATCGTTTAAAAACTAACCAGGAAGAGGAAGAACTCGATGAAAAAATGTTCGAATTCCTCCAAAAGTAGGGAAAAAATCTGATAAAGCGGCGTACGCTACCGAGAGTCGGCCTGGTGTCAGCTTTCCACCTTTTTCTCCTTCCTTGCTGGACTATTTAAATACGCATTGAAGGGTTAACAATTTGAATTGTATATACGTAAATATTTTAAAAATAAGGCATCCACGTAGAGTGTAGTTCGGAATTAACAAGAAAGAAAATCGGTCGTCTGAATTTTGAAGTTATTTTTCGATTTCCATAACAAATGACAGTTTGGTTTTAGGACAACTTTTTCCATTACTAGAAAGTCTATTAGTCCTATAGTATTATCCTAATTGATGAGGTTGTTTCAGGGTTTATTACTATAGGTAATGGACTCCTTCGATATATTATTCTTAAAGAACAAATCCCAGCTTGACCTCTTTTTGCATTCTAAATTTGGTTGGTATACATGATCAGTCATCGTGGTTAATTAAGTGTTTAATTGCTTATAGGTCTTTGAAATGTGCCTTTATATACAAACCTATTTTTTGATCTATTTCAAATGTCGAAGAATCCTTAACGTTCACTTTCTGTAGATGAGACACTTTGGCTGTATCAGCCTTCTGGAATAACACAATACGAAGGAGTAATCTGACTGGTCAAATTCCAAAGGTACCTATCAGCTTTGGGCTCTAAGATCATCTAATATAACTGTTATCAGAGTACAACTGACCTTTCGGATCCCTTGGACTACGTTCTGTTCCTGCTGAAGATTATACATGTCGAGACAAGGGTCAACTTGTTATCAGTTCTGAATTTTCATTAAGACAACAACATAGATGATCTGATGTTTCCTTCTATTCA